CTCTGTGAGTTTGCGTTTGGGTCCTCTCCTGCCTGCCACACAGCCGAATCATGACAACGCGCGCAGCTTAGAGGGAACATTGGTTATGAGCAAACCTCACTTCTGATTCAGGGACATTTTTCAGTTGGTTCATGTAAAAAGCCTTTTGCAGGTGTAATTAAAGGTGGTACCACCTGATCAGAAACATATGCTCTCGATACACAGACACTGGGAGGTTACTGACAGAAGACTCTTAAATTAAGCACCGGATAGTGAAAGAACACAGTCCAAGGTATTACATCACGATATTCTTTGGAAATAACGACAGTGAATTTAAAAATGGCACGTCTTTGTTGCTGGAGCTGAGCTTACTGTCTGATATTTATACCTGCCGTGGATGGGACAGCGAGTGAGGCGTGTGCAGGACCTCTACTGTCTGACTGACACTGTGTCAAACACAGGCACATGAATGCATACAGCCCCACACACATGTTCGAGTATCTCAGCAAAGCAAACACTTACAGATGACCTCCATGTTGTAGTGGGCTTCTTTGCTGCTGACGGCGTTGCTGACCCGACAGGTGAACCTTCCGTTGTCGTCCTTCTGCAGCGGGCTGATCAGTACAGAACTTTCATCAGCGGCAAAAACCACACGAGGGCTGGAAGGCCCAAGAGGTTTACCATCTTTCAGCCAGTCTACCTTCCCCACAGTGCCCCCCGTCGCCTGGCAGCTGAGGTTTGCCTTGCTGTTGCTGGCGATGAGGAAACCAGTCGGACCGATGATTTCAACACTCGAGATTCCCTCTAGGAAAATTAAAGGGAGACACAAGGATGATAACGGTCTTCCTGTGTTTATTATTCAGATTTTACTGTGATCATTCTATTTTCTGGCACATATTACATCAATTATTAAAGATACATAAAGAAGTGCAGTAAGGACTGTAAATACAGTCAGGATAGTCCAGGTGTGAGCATGTCTGAGAAAATGACCCCACTCTGCGCCTGATTTACAACCTCGGCAGAGCAAATTCCTCAGATGCTTCTGTCTTAGGAGCGAGTTTGAAGTCTTACCGGTAACAACATGATGTTCATTTTCTAACTTATGGTCTCCTTCAGCAGAAACAGACAATAGAGTCAGGGCGTGGCAGGCCTTTGACTGACATGCTGCAACAGCGTGAGCATGCCTTTGCCTCCGTTTCTTAGTAACGTCTGATTTCAAAAACAAAAGACGCTGATGGCCGAATGCCAAAACCTCATGAACCAGTGAGCGGCAAGCTGGATCCAACACGTCCCACAATGCAACTGCACAGGGTTTCTGATTAGAGCCACGTCGCCTGCTAAACAAACACGTTCTCACTCCACACCTCCAGGTAGGTTGTCCTGTGATTGGGCGGTACACGACGGCTGCGGCAGCCAATTAAAGTCTGTTTTGTGAGCATCGTGACCTCTGTGGAGGTTGGAGGCATCGAAACACTAAGAAACCTGATGCTTGAATCCTTAACTCGGACATTTAAAGCTATTAAAAATGAGCATAATTGTAGGAATTCTAAAACTTTGAACTCCGTGTACTCAAACTGACATGATCCCAAAGTAAGGGAAGAAGAAACATCCAACTGAGGGAGAAGAACGGGGCTAACCTTTCATTCTCTCTCTTGTAGTTCAGGCTCTCTTTACCGTTTGCTTTCCACTGATAAGAGCACCAACAGGCTCCGCCTCTTTTCCATCGGCCTGCCATCAGCCCTCTCAGGTGTTTCTGTTATGTTAGTTTCATCGTCTCAGTAATCTTGAGTCATTTTATGATCATTTGGGGGCTTGTCTATGATTTGAAGGCTTATAATCAATGATGTCCATTTTTAATTCACTAAAGCATTTCTGATTAAAATCATTAGATTCATAATTGAATAACACAAGTGTGGCCTAGCAGCTGCTATAACGTTTGTGATTTTTACGCTTTAGGCTACAGTTTATCGTTTCAGCCCGCGAGAACCCTCCGTCATCAACAAAGACAAAGAGAAACTCCTCAGGGCACAAACATGAAACCGGCCTCCAACCCAGCAGGTTTCTCACAGGTCTGCCAGCCCCACAGCACAGCCAGCTTGAAAACAACATCTTTGAAAAACATGAAGAAAACTAGTCCTGGGCTGTAATGACAGACGACTCACATTGTCTGTTAGCACAACGTTTCAACACCTCACAGGTGAAAACTGTGAAGAAGGTCACGAGCACTTATTATGACTCATCCTTTAAAAGCCTCGGACAGAGAAAAGAGCAGGAGTCCTTCAGTCTGCCTGACTGGCTTTTATGTTCCTGGATACTCAATAAACTCTGTGTTACATATGAATGCCAACCTGACAGACACCACTAACTATGTTTTTTATATATATATATATATATATATATATATGAATAACATAACATTGTGCAGATAATCACAGCCAGACTTCCTCCTGGACTTGTAGTAGCTCTACAATGACCCCACTCGCCACTCACCCATAATGGCGAAGGAAACAGCTGGGGAAGGGACGCTGCGTTTGCTCTTGGGATTTTCAGCCCGACAGGTGTAGTTAGCCATCTTCGTGTACCCTTTGATCATATCCAGAGTGAGGACGGAGCTGGAAGTCTCGATCCTCGTCCCGTTATAGTACCACGTGAAGGAGGCGGGCGGCAGGGAGCTGGCCGAGCAGGTCAGGTTGAACGTGGAACCAGCCTGGATGAACTTGGGTGGATTTGCAGGCGTGAGGGTGACATCATCAGGTCCGTCTGTGGAGAGGGGGAGTGCAACATGACTGTAAACAGTTTGTACTTCATCATTAAACCGACTGACAAATCAGCAGCTCTAATCGCCAAGATGGCAGCAGCAGAAACGTGATGGGTGGAGTCAGTGACTACATCCTTTCATGTGACATTAATACAGAATGACTGCAATAATTCCCTTTTACTTACTTTCCCTTATTGTTTGATAATTAGTGCTCAGAGATTATGAATGAAGTTATCTTTTCCCCACCAGTAAAACTCATCTCACCTCATCTTCATCGCTTTGTAGACCTGCAGGAATAACAAGCTAACAAATCAAGCACAGTCGTCCAGGCCTGAGACAAACTACTGCTTTAGAACAAACTCCATATGGTTGATTGTTCTCCTTTAAACACCACAGTGAACACAGTCCAGCATATATTTGCTCGTTGTGATTCCAGCTCTACAAGAACAGCTTTTCCAGGCTTGTAGAGAAACAGATTTCGCCCCCGTGGCTAACTGGGAGTTCCTTCCAGACCCGATGAAGCCGTCAGCTTCATATTAATTAATAACAGAGTTCAGCAGCGGTTGCTGTGGCTTTTCGCTGCCTCTCAGGTTAGTCATGCAGGAGTGGAAGTGTGTACACAGTGTGGTTAGCACAGACTGAGAGGGCGCGCCGTGCAAACACACAAACACACACATGCCTGCGTGTGTGAGTAGCAATGGTCACGTCTCACCCAGCAGTGACACCTCTGTGCTTACTGAGGACTTTAAATGCCGGGGTGTGAAGGACCGACCGGGCCTGACTCATGTTTGACCTTTGTTGTGCGGCAGGTGTGGAGCTCATTCGCTCATTCAGGTGCAATGCTACAAACAATGTAAGAGTAAAGACCGGGCTAACTGTCCAACTGCCACAGCTAACAGGAAATACCTGTACAGGAATGCTAAATATGCAGGTGTCACGAAACATGCCAGCATTAAGAGTATGCATCAGAGAGCCCTGAAACAGCAGGTCCCCCTCACAGCTGAGCTCGCTCTTTGGGAAACACAAATGTGAGGGCAGCGAGTGTTTGCACGTGTAGCTGAGATAAACAGCACTGCATATATTTGATTTGTTATTATTTAAATGGAATTTGTGTAATACTAAGGTTCCACATGTCACTGTCACAGTGGGGCACTAATCAGTGGGACACCGCTAGTAAACATGCATGTGTGGGGGTTCCCAGCCACAGTTGCATGGACTCCACAGTGGTAAGGCACGTTCTCTGTAGCTCCTCCCTCTGTACTAAATGATACGTTTAAATGTGGTGTTTTATTATTAGTATGAGTTCTGAGGGCTGAAGGTTCCCAAAGTGCTTTTGATTACTTTGAAAGAGGAAAATAGGAATGAAACCTGCTTCTTATCCATTAAACGCTCCTTTATGCGTTTTCACTCGTGCTAAAGGGAGGAGCTGCTGCTGTGCGGGTCCACTGATGTTGCTGCTGCTGCATTATATCCTTTTAATGTAAAGCCAGTTTTGCAACCAATTCCTGTTTGTAATCACAACGCAGTCTGCCATTAGATATCTGCTCCAGGGCGGTGATGAGCGCGCAGTCGTTAAATGACGACGGCTCATCTTTCAGAAAACTGCAGTCGGGACTTTTGTGGCAATCTGCCAAACTAGAATTTGTGTTAATCTGTGTTCTGATGCGAGGTCGGTGATAGACGGGAGGTCACGAGATGAGCGGGAAAATAAGCCCATGGCTTTCATGTCACGACACGTCAGCAGCCGAGGACGTCTTTCCAAGAAAACTGCAGTTTTTGTGGAACAGCAGGTGTGTATTACAGTTCCAGTTTCCCCCTCTGGGGACAAAAACACCTCCTTACACGTCCAACGCTCGCTGACTTCCATGGCCAGCTTCCAGCTTTCTAAGAGCTGAGCACAGACCTGACGGGGCTGAGCAGCTGAAGCCGTCTGCTGCGAGGATGCAACCTCAGCCGTGCTTCCACATCTGCAGAAGCTCGGCGGATTCTCTGCTACACTTCCTGTTGCGTTTGCTGCATGTCTGCCGAGTAACACCCAGACTAAAAGCATCTGGCATTGTGCTCTGAACGGTGTCATGCAGTCCGGCTGCAGTACTTACAGTACACGGTGAGGTTGAAAGGGGTGGTGGTAGATTTCGTTGTCAGCGAGTTAGATGCTGTGCAGTAGATCGGACCCACCAGGTCCGTCCTCAGAACATTTTTGATGGTCAGCACGCTGGACGAGTTCGTCTGCGATACAAACCCGAGGACAGAAGACAAACAATGAGGATGACTCAGGTAGAAGTGAAACACCGACCCAAAGTTTCACATCAAACAACGCAGAAACAGTCAGGGTTGAACTGACCTTTATCTCTGTGATGCGCGTGCCGTCGACCACGATGGGCGCGCTGCCGTTGATCCATTTGAAGCTGAGCGAGGAGCCTATAGCGCTGCAGGTAAGAATCACAGTGCTGTTGTATTCAATGGCATCAGGGACGTTGGACTTGATGTCCACGTTGGAGACGGGCTCTGCAGGGAGGAACCAACACAGCAGCAGAGGACAGCATGAGCACAAACGTTCTTTCTGATTTTTTAAGGATTTTTCTCCTCGCAGCTTCCAAGAATGAATTGTTATTTTACATTTTGTCCTACCATCACTTTCTCTGAATACTCCACACCATTTTGTCTGGCAGAAATGAGCTAAACACACCCAGCTGCATCGTTTCCCCTTTGAATGAGGGCCTTATGGACGGTTAGCTTGACTGTGCAGAAGCAGATTAAGCACTGCTGGATTGTTGGTTTAAGGCCAACGTTTGCATCACCTCCTCGTTTGTAGATGATGACTAACCAAGTAAGCATCACCATAAAAGCTGAGCAGAGTTAAAGCAGCCTCTGTGTGCGAGTTAGAGCAGGTTGGGGATCTCAGCGAGGTCTACTAGCACTGCCTGCTGCCTTTGGCTCTCAGTGAGGGGAGGCCGACTCAGAGGACAAACATAAAACATTACTTCCTTTTCTAATTGGTTGTGAAGGACACAGGTTTGATTGGGTCGAGCCTGCTCAGGCCTTGCACTAGTTTGGGACTGTGTCAGGGTGTGTGAAGGCGAATATTTCCACAGATTAAAATTAATCAGCATCTTTATTTGTGAAATCCTACTACAAATGAGCAGCCAGCGGCGCAGGCCGGCTTCTCTTCATACAATTGTGCTCTGAAATCGTGATGAAGACGAAAGAGAAACAGAAGCAACCGGCTCGACTCGTTTGCAGTAATCCTGGAGCTACTGTTCACTGGTGATTAAGCAACAGTGGGTGTGTGGGAACGCAAAGGAGTGGAAACCAGTCGGCCTTCAGGAGCTTCACACCATCGCTACTTTGAGATTACTGTTCTAGGATAGCTTGGCTGATAACAGATAAGCTGACTGATCCACAGGAACATTAAAGATCCACTCTGGTGCAAAGAGAGTCAGTGGGTGTGGATATTTGAATTTGTGTAATTACTCCAGAAACTGCTTTACTGGTTTTATCAGGCAACAAAACCAGCACATGATATAGATCCATAATAACTAGAGTATTATTGGTCACCAGAGGTACAGGAGACAGAGAGACATGAGGGCACAGCTAACATGAAGGAAGCTGTTTGTGTTTCTCTGATTTCACTGGTGATTCTACACATGCAGCTTTTATGTCCCAGTAACAGAAATCAAGTTAGTCTTCTCTAACGTGACCTCCAAAATAAGAGCCTGTAGGCATGCTGGCAGGCTGAGTGGCAGGATGTTCCTGTTGGAGGTTTGTCATAGTTACAGCCAGCTCACATCACCTAATGATGCTGCTGCTTTACAATCTAGCTCACAGATCAGTATGAAGCCAAGCTCTCTAAGCCAGCCCACAGCTGCTGCTGCACCTGCAAGCTGCTTTGTAACCCACCTCCAAAGCAGCAGCTTTTCACCTGTGACCATAACGAGGACTCAGAAAAGAGCTCCAGCCACGAGGAGAACATTAAGCATCCAGCACATCCATATTCACACTGTCTGTGCACCACACACTCTGCTTATTATCACAGACACAATCCAGCAGCTGCAAAGCAACACCAGCAGCGTTTTGGGTTTCATGCAGCTGCTGAAGGACACATCTGGTTTTTAATGTGAGGTCAGAACATCAGAGCTGACACACACACACACACACACACACACACACACACACACACACACA